GATAACGAGCCTGCCGGAGCCGGGCGGAAAGAGAGACAGGGATCCAGTGAGGAGCTGAGGGAGATGGAGAATCGGGAACTGGCTGGAGAGACCGTGTGAGAGGAGAGAAGACAGACCAGACGCCATGCTGGTTTCCCCGAGAGAGAAAAGTGTCTCAGGTGTGAAGGAGGAGGGCTTCAAGAAAGAAAACACAAAGAACTGATTTCTACGGGAAAATCAATTCTCACGCGAAACACAGCAGCTGGAGCTTTTATCTTCTCAATCCGAAAGCCTTCCCAATTCTGGGAATGCTACAGACATCATTTCGGCTTCTGCATCCCAGGACTGCCTTTCTGCAGGCTGCTGAACAAATCTGGGTGCCTTTTGCCTAAATGTCTACAACTGAGCCTCTCACAAAGTGTCACACTTCAGTTTTCCCCAATTAATTTTAAAGGAAAATTTAATTTTAGAGGTTAGAGAAAGGAGAAGGAATCTACAGTAACGATCCAGTGCCTTAAGGCACAATGTAAAAAGCAGCAGGTTTCCACAAGGCTGGAAAACAAATGGATCCTACTGAACACCTTGTTCTAACAAACGCCTCAAGTCCTCACCTGTTTCTCAGCTCTTTCAGTCTCAGTGGACACAGTGTCGTGGCTTCTGTGGTCTTTGTCTGAGCACAGCAGACAGACGCAGGTCTGGTCCGTCCGGCAGTAAACCTCTCGCAGTTTCTGATGATCTGGACAGATCTCCTGCAGGTGTCTGCTGACAGAGGTCAGTCTGTGCTTCTTGAAGGCAGGAGCTTCATAGTGAGGCTGGAGGTGAGTCTGACAGTAAGAGGCCAGACACACCAGACAGGACTTCACAGCTCTCATCTTCCTCCTGGAGCAGAAATCACACAGCACATCTCCGGGGCCAGCAGGACTGTGAGCAGGAGGAGGAAGAGGAGTACTGGAGCCTCTCTTCCTCAGTTTCTCCACCACTTCAGCCAGCAGGGTGTTTCTGCCCAGAACAGGCCTTGGGCTGAAGGTCTGTCTGCACTGGGGGCAGCTGTAGACTCCAGTCCGATCGTCCTGATCCCAGTGACTCTTAATACAGCCCATACAGTAACTGTGTCCACAGGGAAGAGACACTGGATCCTTCAGAGTTTCCAGACACACGGAGCAGCTGAACTGGTCCTGAGCCACTGAGACATTAGCTTCTGCCATTTTACTGCCCAGAGCCGGAGAGCGACTGGGGGGGCGGTTTGAAAGAAAATATGTGCCTGTGTGTAACTTCCTGGAGCAGCCCAGAGCTTCAGGAAGTGGGAGTTTTGGACAGAGTTCAGGAGCTGCTTGGAAAACGTGGAGCGGAATGTGAGAGGAGTCCCAGCTGGATCGCGAGAGAGAGGCAGAGCGGGACAGGGCTTTTATCACAAGGTCTTGCCAGCGATCGCTAGCTCCCTGCTCCTCCGGAGTTCTGCCACCTGGATTGAAATCTCTGGGACGCTGGATTGTTTTCAACCACAGGGGCGTGTCCGGCTGTAGGGTATTCCTCCTGTCCTGAATTGGGAACATTGAATCTGACCGGACGTGTGTGTCAACGGAGAGCACGGCACTGGGGAGGCGAGGGCATATCGGGGGGATGGGGGGGGTGTCCCCAAAACTCATCTGTTTAGATGCGTGTCTCTCTCCCTCGTGCTCAGTACAGTTCAAACATTTACTTAACATCCTGTGCCATTGTAACAATATTATTAGAAGAGAAATCATCCAGACGAATTCATGTCGCACTAACTTGACTTCTCAGCTGGACCACGGTGGAATGATCTCATTTTTTTTCTTAAATACAAACGCAGGCCGACACAGGGCAGACAAGCTTCACCACTGGGCACTTTGAAATCACGCAGCAGAATAAGAGAATTAACAATCGGCAAGAATTACAGTTTGATTAGGTAATGTATTAAAATTCAATTTTAAATTGAAATCTTTTTCGTGTTCATTGCAGGAAGCTCAGGGGAGAGGTCATAGAAGGTCGATAGACAACTTGAGGAGAATAGGGGTGGAGAAAACTACAAATCCCACGATTCCACACAGCAGTTGGACAGAGTACAATAAGAAATCATGAAAAACTACAGATCCCATGATGCCACATGGCAGTCAGATGGCACAGTTAGAAATCATGGGACCCTTTTGACAGGATATAAGAACTGGGAGCAGAGGTGGGTAGGTGTAGGGAAGTCTTATGAATATTTAAAGAATAAACCTCTTCTGGCACAGGCCTCAATGACAGGTCTGACTGGCTCTTACTGCTTTCTTAATGCATAACCGTTAACAAACTAAAAACTCCAGTAACAGGATAGTCAAGAGAATGCCAGTATGGGTCACTTGTTTGGTCTAAATTAAAGAGCTATTTACAACGACAGAGATAAAACAGTCAGTTCTGATTGTGACAAACGTTCAAAGAGGATTTAGAGAATAGATTATTCTAATACAACCACACTGTTAAAGTTTAAAAATAATAGGACCCAAACTTAATAATAATAATATTAAATTATTATT